AGGCAGGACAGAGACAAGGGTAGAGCAGAGGCCAGGCGGAGGAAGGGAGAGTGTGTCCCAGGGGTGGAGTCACAGGGACTCGCACCTGGGGAGTCCCAGGGCTGGACCAAGGCGGTGGCCCTCGAAGGGGCGCAGAAGGGCAGAGGACTGGAAGAACTAGCTGTGTGGGCACCCGGCTGGGGACTTGCGTCGGGGATGGGGGAGGGTCAGGGTGACGCGCAGGACTGTTGCCTGAGCGCCCTGGGGCGGGTTTAGGTGGGATGCGTTCCCTTGGTCGTTGTCCTGCTTTCGTCTGAGCTGTAAACACACCTGGATGGGGCAGGGTAGAGGGGAGCAGTGGGAAATCCTGAGTGCAGGGAGCCCCCTAAAGTCTCTTCTCTGACCAGCCTGGAGGACCCCCAAACCCCAGCCCAAGGGTGTGGGAGGAGAAAGGAGCGCCCTCAACACCGCAAGCTCCTCGCGTTTACGCTCCGCTTGGCCCACCTCCTTCCTCCTGCGCAAATGGTGTCTAAGAATAATCGCAGACCGTAGCCAGCCCTAAGCCAGCGGTGTCAGTGGGGGGGAAACTTGGCAACTTCTGGGGCATGTTGTGTTTGTCTCTATGTCTCTGTCTGGTGTCTCTGTCTCTGCTGCGTGGTGATATATGTGTTGTGTGTCTATGTGTAATGTTGTCTGTTTCTTCTTGATTGTTTTTGTGTTGTTGTTTTTTTTTTCCCTCGATGACCGGCCCCCACCCCAGAGAACAACCTGACCTCCAGTGTCAACAGTGCCTCAGTGGAGGAACCCGGCTCTGTGGGGCCTGTTCTGTAATCTGTCCCATTTAGCAGTTGGGAGATGGAGGCCCAGAGAGGGGCAGTGACTGGTCCAGGGTCACACAGCAGGTATGAAATAACCAAACTGGATTCAACTTCCCCCGCCGCCGTCTGCTGGAGCTTTGCGGTTAAATTCAGGTTCTGGGAGGCCTCTTTTCTTCTCGCGTCCTTTCTCTGTCCTATCATCCCAACCTCTCGCCATCTGCCGGCTTCTCCCCTTGGTGTCCATGTGTCCCCGCAGTGGATGGGCCACACCAGCCCTGGGCTCTTCCCTGGGCCGTCACCCCACGGCCCAGCCACCAGCTGGGCATCTCCCGTGGACGCCCACCAGGCCCCTGGACACCCAGTGGGGTTTGAACTGAACTGAGAATCCTCCCCGCAAGGGGCTCCCCCAAACCCCCAGGTTGGAGGTGAACAGGTCCTCCCAAGACCCGTCACCCCGAGTTTGTCTCCCCACCCCTCGCATGTCACCCCCTGAGTCCTGCCCACCCCCAAGCCTCGTGCTACCTGGCTTGGCCCCTCCTCAGATTCCTCCTGCCCCCCCATCACCTGGCACCCCTGTCCCCAGGGCCCAGGGCTCCTTCTAAAGCGCCAACCACGTGCGCAAGCGCCACAGGCCGCTGGGGATCTTGGCTGTGCTCCTTGCTGCGCCCCCAGGCCGGGCATCCAGTAGGTGCTCAATCAATGTTTAGTGCATGAAGGAGCCTCTCCCCAAAACGCTCGTCTGATCGCACCTTTGTCAAGCGACTGCTGTGCGCCACACGCTGTTCCAGGCACTGGGGACCCTGCGGGGACAAAGACCACTGAGCAGGGACGGGCGCGCAGGGCAGGGCAGGGCCGCGCGGCCCAGCTGGGTCTTTCCTTGGAGAAAGTCCCGGTCCCGCTGCGCCCTGCCCGGCGCCAGCCAGCGCCTCGCGTGTAGTGTCTCTCCGCCACCCCGTCCCCCCGCGGCAGGCACTGTCTGCTGTTTTCAGAGGAGCAGAGTGCTGTCCGAGCAGGTAAGTACCGGCCCGGGCGTGCCGGTGGGACCCGCGGGGCCGGGCGCTGGATTCAGGGTCAGGTCTGTGTGCTCGCGGAGCCGCCCCCGCCCGGTGCGCACGAGCGAAAGAATGAATGAATGATCAAACGAATGAATGAATGAATGAACGAGTGAATGAATGAACCGATGAACGAATGAACGCGTGAATGAATGGGTGAACGAACAAATGAGTGGACGAATGAATGAGCTAATGAATTAATAGGCAAATGAATGGGTGAATGAATGAAGAAGTGAATGAATGAATGAGTGAAGGACAGAGTGAATGCATGGGCAGACGAATGAATGGGTTAACGAGGGAAAGGGTGCGGGGGCGACAGCCCGGGTGGCCTGGCCGCAGGGAGTGGCGCTGAATGTGGGGGCGCCAAGCCAGGAGACACCTGCGCGCCCCGGCCTGCTTCCAGGAGGCGGAGATGGACGCCGGGTCCCCAGGAGGAGCGCCCTGCCGCCTGCGGGGTGGTGACAAGGTCAGGTGCGGCCAGGGTGGCGGCCCCTCAAGATTCTCCCCGGTGACCATCCCCAGTGACCC